TCAGCACTCAGCGGGTTTTGGGCGCTCAAGGGGCTCGTCTTTTTGGGCGGTGTCTGCCTTGAACGAAGGCCCTTGAAATCGAGAGCGCAGCTCCACTCTCCTGATGGATCCACGCATGGCGGAGGTTTGCGTATGGCGTCCTTCTTGGGACGCCGAAAAAAGGGCCGCCGCCTTTGGAACATATGAAACAGGCGCCCCTAAATTTTGAGAGCCCCCATTTCATTTCATGGATGGATATCACAATACCTTTGGTGGCGCGGTTTGCCATTTCCCCATCGACCGCAGACTGCACGCCAGATGTGCTTACCCGCTTGAAGTATTGCATACTAAATGACTATGCTACAATCCGATGCAGGAGATTCAATTTCATTGGAGCAGTTCCGTTGGTTCACCCAGCAGATTGGGATGTTTCCGACCTACGAAGTGTCTCTCACTCTTTCTCTATCTCTTAAAGCAAACAAGTAAGTGCTTCTGCGGACGTGTCCCAAATGCACACCACCCACCATTAACACTCCCTATACTTTCCAATTTCCAAGGCCCCAGATATGGGTTGGTAGCCCTTTTTCCGACCCCGGATTGATCAACCTGGTGGACTAATAGCGGGGTGCCCCCCCAAAAAAGGTACGGAGGATTGCCTCCTAAACGGGACGGCCTCGCTGTAGTCAACGAGAGGTGTGTTTATCCTGGGTCAATGGTTTGGGGCGCGGTCTCGCTGGGCGCGTCGTTATTGACCTCTATGACGTCACGGCAGTCAGGCCCCCCTTCCATTTGCTTAAGACTATGTGTTGTATTTGTTTCCCCTGTTGGTTTTAAAGGGAGTCGATTTCGCGCTGGACATATTTTCACATGTTTCCCAGGGGGCGTAACTTAAGCGCCCTGGACAGAACATGAGAAGTATGAAGCAAATGAAAAGAGTCGGTCTTTAAAATGGCCATGAATTCAAATAGGCACTTTCTCAAAAGTGGCTGGTGGATATAAACATCCTCATGTGAATGATGTCCACCAAAGAAAACCCCAAGTCGGGCTGAAAAAACAACCCCGCGCCTTTTAATTATGTAAGGGAGGGGCCGTCCCTTAACTTGTTTCGCAGGCCAAAACCATTGCAAACCGATACAGAGGAGAAAAAAACAAGAAAACACGATACCCCCAGAAGCCATGAAGACACACATCAGGTCCAAGTTGTTGTCGCAAGAATCATAAATTTGCAGGGCCCAAACCGATACCCAAACCGATACCCAACCGATACCCAACTCATTGGCAGCCATGCCGAATCCAACCAGCTGCCCTGCAGCCTTCCCTGGAGCTGCCAAAATGTACTTTGTACTACATTTGTACTGAAAAGCTGCGACTTTCGAGCCGGAGCTGCCGAAGTGTACTGCGCATACTAGTGAAAAGTTGCGACTTTCCAGCTGGAGCTGCCAAAATGTACTCTGTGTACTACACTTGTACTGAAAAGTTGCGACTTTCCAGCTGGAGCTGGGAGCTGGCAGAGTGTACTTCGCATACTACACTTGTAGGGAAAAGTAACGACTTTCGAGCTAGAGCTGCCAACGTTGCAAACCGATGCAGAGGAAAAAACGATACTGACCGATACTAGGGCATAAGGATACAAGGGTTGTCCACTGGGTTCATACTGTGGATGGACAGAAGCTGGTTAAGGCCGTATGTTTTGGGCAAATTGAAGAACAGAAAGCAAGCGCAGTTAGCTGCTGCAAGATTATAATTAGTTGGTTCAAGTGACCCTTACTTGAACCAATTGCAACTGCATGGTAAGCTAAAGGCTCCGAAGAACAAGAAAGGTTCAACCAACACATGCAGGGCAATGCGAGGGACCTGGTTTCGTTTGAGGTTTAAGGTTCCTCTCAGGTTTACCGGGTGGCTTGGTGGATGAGGCTCTTTGGAGTTCCCCCCCACATTCAGCGTCCGGTTCTAAGTGTTGTTGGGTCGCGCTCAAACACAATCTGGGCACCCTCAGGTCAAAGCACTTTGTTGTAACCGGCACCTGGGGCGCTGTTAGCGTGCGGCCTCCATTAAAGGCCCTAGCAGGAACTACCCGCCAGCGGTTAGCCAAATCCTTTCACTGTTAGCCAAATCCTTTCGGCTTTGGAGTTTCAAAGCAAAACCGCCCCGTCCAGCTTACGGACGTGGCCTTCGCAGCGCCTTGGTCAGCACCGGCGGGTGGCAGGGGATTTTAGTTCTGAGAATACGGCTTTCCTTGTGGCCCGGGTTGGTGCAAAGGGAAGCATGTAAAAAACGACCCGGGGAATACCGGATTGAGTTTTTCTTTTTTCTTTTTAGGTTTTTAGTTGGTGTAGTGGTGCCCGAAGTTAACCCACAAGTTAAACTTTTAGCCGATCTGAAGATGACCCTGATCTGAGGATGACCCTGGCGGTTGGTTCAAAGGCAAGCCAAAAGTCTTTTTTTGGGGGGGGAATACCTCCCTCCAATCATGCAAGCTGACAACAGGGTTTTGGACAACTGGCATCCTGTTGGGGAAGGT